CCTGGAGAACTCTTAAGTAATCATATACAATTAAATCTTGGGAGAACTCCCAGGGTTCTGCTTGCAGGAGCAAGCACTGTGTTTCATTTGTTGTTGCTTCTGTATACATCTTGGCAGCACTGCCATCTCTGCATGTTGTCTGGTTCGCACATTAACTTGCAGTGTTGGCACACATTCTTATGACACTGTCTGTAAGATGTCGCAGCAGCACATAGATACTGGGCCAGGAAAAAAGGGACGGCAAGAAGTTACATTGCAGGGTTGACCATGGAAATTGAATCCATTACCTTCTCATGTTTTAACTCATGTTTTAAAAAGATTGATTTGTTATACTGTATGACTGTGTGGTAGTAACAGATCCTTTACTGTACTGTATGTGGACTTAATTTTAATTATTCTGTATTATATTTATCATCTCAATATGTGTCAGAAGACTATTTTAGCAACAGAATGAGGGTCAATCTTATAATGTTTGTACAGCAATGTTAATAAATGCATTATTATGGTTTCAGTTTTCTTTTGTGTATTATGTGCATGTACATTTTGAACATCAGGTAGATATTTGCTTGGGTAATGCTGACATGAGGTGCTGTACAGCAGTGGTCCCCAACCTTGGGCCTCCAGATGTTCTTGGACTTCAACTCCCAGAAATCTTGGCCAGCAGAGGTGGTGGTGAAGGCTTCTGGGCGTTGTAGTCCAAGAACACCTGGAGGCCCAAGGTTGGTGACCACTGCTGTACAGCATCTGATAGTTGCCTGGATTCTCCAACAAGTGGTTACTGTCCCAGATGCCTTATCAGGGCTGAAAAATCCACTGAAAGTGGTTGTCTTAAACACAATTAACTGAAACCTACCCCTGAGTAGCCATGTATGGTAGTGCATTTTGGGCTAAAATGTGAAAGGAAGGCCTGTGGGAAATGGTCCCAACTTGGAGAGAGTAGCATGTAGCTCACATGGGCCAGCACAGCAAAAAGTGAAGATGGAACTTTTTTAAATTTAAAAATAATCTATTGATGTTTAATAGTTATCTTCTTTAAAAAAAAAGAATATGTTACACAGCGCTTATTTTTATGAGCACTTTTAATAGTATTTTAGTAATATTTCCAACTTAGTACTTTAAATTTTTATTTAAATTTTGTTACAGTTAGCCTTAAAATGGCAAAATGACCCAGTGGCCCAAAATCTCCCATAATGGCCCCTTTATCAACAGTTTTGAAAACAATGAGTAAATGTTACTTGTTATATCCACTCCTCAGAAGCACTTTTCTTACCACTCAATGGCCAGAATCCTGTTGTCCAGCTACACAAAAGGAGTAACTTTTGAAAGCGGGCTGCTGCAAATTAGGAAATCTCTATAGTCATTATCTGCTGCTTGCTGAGTTGCAGAACTGGGCATGCAACACATAATGCCAGCAAAGGTTTATTAAATTACACCAATTCACTTCCAAAAGTTATAGCTTTTCCATAACTGTGCAACAGGATTTCACTCATTGTACTACGTATTTATTAAAAACATAATGACATTAAGCCGGAGTACATGAAGAGTAACACATTGCAGGTAATATCATTGTTCCTAGTATGTTATTTTTGGGTGAGGAGAGGTGGAAGTTCAGTTGAAAAATATGGAAGGTGACAATTTCCCCCACCATTTTGTTTGTGAAGCCATAAGCTTCACACAGGAAGCTTTTTCAAGGGAGACGAAAGAGCAGAGCTTAATTCTCCCCACAACTAGGTGCACACCTCTGTTTTATTTGCCCCAAGGGTACATTCAAGGGGAAATGTGTTGGCAAGGTGCAAAGACACTGTTTAGCCCACACCCCAGCCAGTTTGCCTACTTTTAGTCATGTCCATGATTACTTTTTGGTAGGAGAACAGTTAGTACTCTAATTTGTCCATCTATGGAAAAAGATGGCTATGGACATACTTTTAAAAATAGCATCGCAATTGCTCTGTAAGGATAGTTGACTTGATACTGTTCGTTGAACATGTTATCCAAGATTTTCCTGATCAAAACCAGCACTACTCCCAACATTACTGATAGAGCAGCTATTGTGAAATCTAGTGGGGTTCATGAGAAGGGTTATGGTAGCAGAAAGATGGGTATATTCCTCTGTTTGATTGAGTATCATTGCTTGGAAATAAGTTCCCTTAAACTCAGTATGAACTCTGAGAAACCAGACTTCAGAATGGTGGTGTCTGAATGTCAGACCAAACCTCCCAACTTGGAGGCTTACATTCAGTTTACAGAATTAGGTTGATAGTCTTTCAGTTCTGTCCATATCTATTGGAGCTCCCACAGTTTTCGGGGGGGGGGACTTTTTTCTCCAGAGAGTATGTATCACGGTCTAAAAAGTTGGAATAAGGATTTTAAAAATTTCTTGGAAGCCTTGGGACTTTTATTGTAAACATTACCCTGCTACAACTAGTCAGGGTGGGGAAAAAGTTATTTCAAGAGTTCAGCCAAATATGTTTAACAACATGCTTTTAAAGAGAAGCATACTTTAAAGCTGAATAATCTTCTCCCACTACCACTGTAGCAAGCCAATATTCATAAATTTTATGAAAGCAGCACTAATATGTAATATTTTCTATAAATTCTTTCCTTCTAAGCCGCTTGAACCCACTTAGGAAGAATGTTAATGATCTGGTCCTGTAGCGTTTTTGCACACCAAACATTGTCCTTGAGTTCTAATTAAGTGCTTTGAAAGATCAAGCCACATTTGCTGTATAGTTATTTTCTTTAGGAAATTGCTGTGGTTTTAGTACTGTCATTTTACTAGAGAATTGGGGAAACTTAATTGCTGTGTCCTATTTGATTTGTATATTTCTTATCATGTTATTTTCTATCATTAAGAAAAAATAAAGCAAACTTCCTGACGTTCCATGTCCTTAAGCTAAACCATTCATTCATATGTGGCTGCAAAAAACAACCCATATTCAATAGAATAATATTTTTTCTTTGTAAAATAGGAAAACAACAATAATTGTTTGTATATAAGCTTATTGCATCATTCAGTGACACACAGTAATGCAACATTATCTTTTATCCTTTTCATCTCTGCTTTGTACTGTAATTAATGTAAAACTGTGAAGATTGGAATAAACACATTTTTCTAAATATGCAAATACTTTGATTTGTTTGTAGTTGTGATGTTCCAAATATCAGCTAAAAGGATTGAAAGGAGGCACATGATTTGTATCTTTATGTTTAATGCATGAAACCATGGGTTTAAAAAGTTTGAGGAACACTTGTGTAAATAATGAGAAAATCAAACGTGAACACAACATAGGAATTTCAGAAGCCTTGAAAATTGTGATGGTCTTGTGACTTTGAGCATTGGTTTTGTTGCCTGCTTCAGGTAAAATGAAACGCAAGTAGGGAAATATGTCAGAAGCAGTCTCTCATCTCTGTCTTGGACTGATAGAAATGTTTTATATTAATAAAAATGCCAGGCACACACTTAAAATCTATGGATAGTTATCAAATATTGTTCCAGATGGTGAAAAAAGCTCTTTGAAACTGAAGACTCTATTTAACTTGAGAGGAGTATTCAAGGGAATGGAGAGCAACACTTGCTTTTTGAGAGGCTGACGGTTTAATTCAAACCAAGACTGTTTTAAAGAGACTCCCCAATGGTTAGACCCAATTTAAATGGTAACACCTGTATAGAATTTCTGGTCACATTTCTCATGCTCATAGGTTTCAGTTTCCTAATTAAATCAATGATAAAACCCTGCTTGTATAACCAGATAGATCTATTATGAGATGGGTGAGTTGGTATTGTTGTCATAAGGCTGGAAGTGTGGATTTCTAAGAGACTTCAGCTGGATCTGATACTTGTTTATCTGAAAGTCTGCAGTAGGCAAAATATGTTTGGAGCAACCATTACGGTGGTTTCCAGGCTGTTTTTCCTGCCTGAAAATAGCCTTACGTGCAGCTATGCCTGCATTTCATGAGAAAACATAGCAAATGAAAGCACATCTGTTACCTTCAACTTGACAATGTCCACTTTCATTACATTATGTGTGTTCATGTGCACACCTTTTGCTGCCCCTTAATCTTTTGAATTCAACGTTTAGTGGGTTTTTTGTACAGTGGTGCCTCACTTAACGAGCGCACCACAGAACGACGAAATCGCATAGCGATGAGGTATTTGCGATCGCAAATGCAATCGCATACCAATGGCCCCTATGGGCAAAACTCACATTGCGAAGATTGGTAAGCATTTCGCTTACCAATCTTCGCATTGCCATGTCGGGGGAACAGCTGATCGGCGGTTCCAAAATGGCCGCCGGAAGCCCCAAAACGGCCGCGCGCAGCGTTTTCGCACCCTGCCCTCGCTTACCGAGGGCGCGAAAATGGCTGCCAGACCCTGGAAACATTGCTGAATGGTGAGTTTTTTGCCCATTTGGAACATCGTTTAATGCGTTCCAATGGGCTTCCCCGTTCCGTACAGCAATACACTATGCGAGGCACCACTGTATTTATTTGTTTGTTTGTTTGTTTGTTTGATTGATTTATACCCCGCCCATCTGGTCTATTCGACCACTCTAGGCGGCTTAAAACATGACATAAAATACTCCGCCCATCTGGTCTATTCAACCACTCTAGGTGGCTTACAACATGACATAATAATAAAACCCAATAGTAAATAAAACATCCAAGAACAAATTACAATACAAAATTAAGTATGAAATAGTTAGAAAGAATAAAAGGAAGTCAAGTACTGACAGGAGGGAAGGCCTGAATATACACCCATGTTTTTAATTGGCTTTTAAAAGTACCCAGCATAAAAAAAAAGCGTTTTTAATTGGTTTTTAAAAGTACCCAGCATAAAAAAAAAAAAGGCAGTACTTTTTGCCATCAGAAGTAACATCGTGATATTGGGCAACTTTTGTTATTGCTAGTTTACAGCAGGAAAGGCAATGGAAATGAGCAACAATGTGTCGGCCGGATGCTAACATGTCATCTCCTCCTCCTCCTCCTCTTCTTCTTTGTAGAGACTTAAGAGAGAACTACTGCCGAAATCCCAATGGACAGGAGGCACCCTGGTGTTTTACTACAAACCCAGAGATTCGCACTGGGTATTGCTCTCAAATACCGAAATGCAATGTGCCGAGCAAGCAAGGTAACTATGCTTGGGCATCAGAACTTTCTAAAGAAATGTGTAGGATGCATATCTTTAAAGTTTCCAAGAGTGATGTGTTTGTACACTCTCTTTCTGATAGGTATATAATGGGATAATTTTTGCTAAGTCTCTCGCAGCATAAAAGCTGTAGCAAAAATTTAGATATTCTGTGTACACAGTTTTTAATTTGTGCTACAGCCCCCTTCCGCATCTCATTCTCCGCTTTTATTGAGACCATGGCAAAACATTTTTCAGCCAGCAAGGAAGAAAAAGAAAAGAAAGAAAAGACAAAAAAAAGAAAGAAAGAAAAAGGATTCACACTCTAAAGACAAAAAGAAAGAAAGAAAGAAAAAGGATTCACACTCCTAAATCCAGTTCCCGCAGCTCTAACTTGTTGTCCATCTGCCTGCACTACAAATGTCTGTGACTGCACAATCTATCTTAGAGACTCAGATTCGTGACAACAAAAGGCTATGTCCCATTTTCTTACATGACCTGTGAATCTACTTCACTGCTAGTAGTAGTAGGACAGCAGTGCAATGGCCCAAATTCTGTTGCTTGGCAGAGTAAATTGCATTAGAGTAGGCCCATTTGAATCCATGGAACTTGTGGAGAAGTTGACTCACCAATTTCCCATTGATTCAATGGACTTACTTTAGGACAATTTACTGTGCTAAGCAACAGGATTTGGGCCACTGTAAAATGCCAGTACTGTATGTAAAATATTCATAGCACTTGCAAAGTTCCAAAGTGTTCATTCATGTTGGTCTGTTCATCATCCTCAATGAAATCAACCACAGTTTTATGTCTCTAAGAAGGGAATATTCTGAGAATTGGAACGTGCTTGTCATTAGTCTTGTCACGGGAGTGAGGAGCTCCAGCGTTTTTCTGTCTTTGCCAAAACTGTAGACCTCTTGTTAGCTAACTAAATTTCCATTCCGTAGTATACAGAAAACATCTGGATTTAAATGGCAAAGCTGAGGATACATTGGCAGTTTTTAGATAGGTTAATGCATTGGCTGACCTTGTCAAGTTCGCAGTCAACATATTACCATTTAAATGGAAATGTTTCTGTACATCTGTAGTCGATGGCAAGAGCAAGTTAGTTACTTACAAACCACGCATTTATATCTTGAACACAAACATTGCTGTATTCCAACAGATGAAATTTCTTTCAATGATATATTTACTGGCTTACTTTTTCCATGTATTGTCTTAGCACTACTCTATATTTTAAAACTTTGTCTTTAATTAACAGAATATTTAGAATGTCCTTTTCCCCACTTCACAGTGGTGTCAATGGTATTTCAGTTGCCTTTTTAAAAACCATTTCCCAATGTACCTTTTTAATTTAGATTGCTATCAAGGGAATGGGTCAAATTATAAGGGAGATTTAGCCCGGACCCGGTTTGGCTTAACTTGCTCTCCATGGAATCAAAATTTTCAAGATTTAATGCGGTACGTACAACTTCATTAAGATTTTCTATCTTAATTTAATACAAAATATTTCAGCATGTTGTTCAAGTGGCCTTTGTGTTACAGTAATGATTTTCTTTAAAAAACCTGTCTCCAAATGTATCCTTTTTTCCCTTCTTCATCAAATTATTATTTCTAGTGGAATGAGAATTCCTCAGTGAATAAGTGCACGCAAAGAATTACATGCAAAGTAGTACAAAATAAGGTGTCCTTTAGGGAAAATGTATGGTATTATGCACTTATGCACAAATATCTTTGGAAAGGAAAAAAAAACTCACAGTTCAATAATAGAAGTAGGATGGGACAAGAGTATCTGTGGGATTCTGAGAAGCATAATGACCAAATTCTCTTGTCCAACTTAATGAGGAAGTGATATCACCGTAGTGATAGATCACCCCTGAATAGAATCCCTACTGTGATTTAGGTGGCTTTGCATGTGGTGTGAAATCCAAGCAGAAATGCTTGAATTAATTAGTTGCTAATAAGGCACAACTACAAACAATTTCAACAAGAAAAAACAATAGAAGATGGCAAAAATTAAAAAATGATGTGGCTTCAGAAAAAGCCCAGAAAAGACCTGAAAACAAAACAGGACATGTATAAGAAGTGGAAGGGAGGCCTGGCTACAAAGGAAGAGTACAGACAAGCAGCAAAGAATTGCAGGGGTGGTGTTAGGCAGGCAAAAGCTGAGAATGAGCTGATGTTATCAAGAGATGCTAAAAGCAACAACAACATTTTTCAGGTACATGCATAGCAAAAGACAGAGAAAAGAAACAGTGCTTCAGCTACTCGGTGGTGATGGGGAAATGTTAAAAGATGACAAAGAAAAGTCAGAAGTGCTCAATTCCTATTTCAGATGGGTCTTCTCCCAAAAGGCAGTCTATGACCTATGCAAATGTGAAGTACAAAGGGAGGGGATAGGATTGCAACTTAAGAATGATGAACAGATTGGCAAGGGATACTTACTACTTTGAATGAGTTCCCCAGAGCCCAATGCACTGTATCTAAGAGTACTGAAGGAACTCGCTGAAGAACTCTCAAAAACACTACTATTGTCTGGAAATCATAGAGTGTCATATGATTGGAGGGCTAACATTGTCCCCTATCTTTGAAAAAGGAGGAACTGGAGAATTACAGACTAGTCAGCCTGACATCAATCCCAGGGAAAATTCTGTAGCAGATTATAAAGCAATCACTCTGCAAGTACTCTGCAAGTACCTTGAAAACAATGCTGTAATAACTAGAAGCTGACATGGATGTATCAAAAACAAATCCTGCAAAACTAATTTTATCTCATTCTTGATTAAGTAACCTCTCTGGTAGATGAAAGGAATGCTGTAGATGTAATATATTTTGACTTCAGCAAAGCCTTCGACAAAGTGTCCCATGATATTCTGATTATCAAGCTATTCTGATTATCAGGTTGGATAGAAGAAAATGTCAGGTGGATACACAGTTGGTTATAGAGTTATACTCAGAGAGTGTTTATCATGGCTCCTTCTCAAGCAGTGTGATGTGTCTGTGAAAAAGGCAAATGCTATATAAGGATGCTTTAACAGAAATCCCATGAGGTATTCACTGGTTAGGCCTCATCTAGAGTACTATGTCCAGTAGTAGATGCCGCACTTGAAGAACGATGCCAACAAGGTGGTGAGTGCTCCAATATTGGAGGCAGAGGACAATCATCTGCCATATCTGTTTTGATACCATCATTGAGCACGGGGTTGGACTGGCAGATCAAATCTGAAATCCATAAATATAATAAATACTGTTGATTAAAATACAATGACATCATGGGTACCTGTTTTTCTTCCAGGCATCTGCCACTATACAGAGACCTAGAGATTAGCAAACTCAAGGAAAACTATTGTCGCAATCCAGACGATGATGCTCATGGACCTTGGTGTTATACAAGTGATCCTCAAATCCCTTGGGATTATTGCCCCATATCAAGATGTACGTGCTCAAGAAATGTTGGGATGTGGTCATTACGAAGCTATTTGAGGTTTCTTAATGACAATAGATAACATGTTGTGCTTTTTGTCTTGTTTTAACATAGGAAAACTATTGTCGCAATCCAGACGATGATGCTCATGGACCTTGGTGTTATACAAGTGATCCTCAAATCCCTTGGGATTATTGCCCCATATCAAGATGTACGTGCTCAAGAAATGTTGGGATGTGGTCATTACGAAGCTATTTGAGGTTTCTTAATGACAATAGATAACATGCTGTGCTTTTTGTCTTGTTTTAACATCTTACTTCTGTTGGTTGATTGTTTATTTGCAATCTTGAATGACATTCTTTAGAAAGTAGGCTGGGTACAAACCCATAAATAGATAGATAGGTATTAGCCTATAGTGTCCCTGATGTGTGGCCATTGGTCTGGGAGGGGTGTGGGGAGAGGAGGAAATCTCCACACTTTAATGATGGTGGGAATGGGGGAGAAATGTGGAATGAAAGACATTGTCTATTTAACTTACTAGCCTTTTGGAGACAAAAGGAAGCCAGGAGAGTCTTTTGTGTACTGATCAAATACTTTCCATTAATTGAAACTTAACAGTTATTGATCCAGTTAAACCAGCATTTGGAGAACTGTGGCTGGGTTTCCCATTGCTCTTCTCTCATACCATTGCTCTCTCTGGCATCTCTAGATATGAAGGTGGCTTGATTATTTGGCAAATATATCATATCAGACAAAAACAAAGGAAAATAAAAGAAGTCAAAACTATTATGGCACCTTAAATACTAATTGCTATATTTTAATGTGAGATTTTGTGGACAGGTCCACTTCCTCGATTATTTTGCAAGTAGTTACCAATTTGATGAATTCCACTCCTTAAGTAACTTTATTTTCTTTTGTAAGTATTAAAAGAGTACTTATGTGGAGAGGCACTCGCCCATATACTTTGAAACAATTTTGCAGTTGCTGTGAACATTTGGGAATCAGATTAAATACATTACTTCCCATGGTTACTCACTATCCTATAAATATTATGGGTATTAGTTAATAATCACACCCAAATGTGTGCGTCAGCTGAGATCCTTTTGCTTTGTTACACAGGTGGAAGCAAACATTCACTCACTCCCAGAAAGAAATTGAAGAGTCACCACTGGGATTCTCGGGGATGCTCATGCATGCTGAAGAATTCCAGTGGGGACTCTTTAATTGCTGGCTGGAATCAAGTAAATGTTACACCATTTGGCTTTTGCCTACGTGACAAACCAACAGGATTTCAGCTACTGAATTGTATTTCTGGGAATTTATTTCAGCTCTTCCAAGATATAAACTTATGGAAGTCTGAAAACTAGCATAACATACATTTGCTTATTGATTGTGACAGAATGCAAATAACTAACATATGTACTGCAGAAGAACATTTATGGTATCTACATGTCTGAAAAATAATTCATGCAGCACTCCAGTATGACATAAATGGAAAGAAAAGATTGTGAAGTGCATTGTGTAATTTTGGTGTGGGTGAATTTTTTACTGCTACCACTGTAGACCACAAGTACACTTGAGCGGAAAAACCACATCCTTGGTATCTACATGTCTGAAAAATAATTCATGCAGCACTCCAGTATGACATAAATGGAAAGAAAAGATTGTGAAGTGCATTGTGTAATTTTGGTGTGGGTGAATTTTTTACTGCTACCACAAGTACACTTGAGCAGGAAAACCACATCCTCTGTGCTTTAGATCTCTGGCTTCAGTTTTATATTGTGGATCATCTGTCATTTTGGTGTAACAAAGGTTAAGAACCACTGCTTTAGATCTCTGGCTTCAGTTTTGTATTGTGGATCATCTGTCATTTTGGTAGATTGCTCATCTGAATGAAGATGGATAGAAAGTCTACATTAGTCTTAATTAGATCAATGTAGATGGAATTAGAGCTCGGTAGAACATCTCAAATGTTACATGATCAGATGCATACAGTCAAGAGAAAATTTCTGAAGAGTTTTGGTTTGCATTTGCAATGGGTAAAATAATTTGGAGGGCTTGGAGGAAATATGTTGGGGTCAGCAGTGAGGATCAGAGAAACACTGACAACCTATCATAAATCAAACTTTTCTTTAGCACTGGGTCAATGTTAAAATGGGGTTTAGTTCCCAGATAATTCTCATGTCTCAGTCCCAACCCCCTCCTCTCACCCTCTCCACCATTCTCCCATCCATGTTCTACAATGTGTATTGGGAATGACATTCAACTGAGCTTCCACAGAATTTTTATTCCTTCAACCTTAACTGTAAAATACACACCATGCTTCCTTTCTTGCTGTATCTCCCAGACTTCATGAGAGACCTAGAAGTTGTAAAACTGAGTTTTATATACTGCGGGCTGGGTAACACTACGGTCATAAAAGTGAGCCACTGCAATTTGGTGGTCTGCTGTATACAGTTTTCTCAAATATTTCATAGTCGTAAATGGAGTGGCTGTAATAAGACTAATTTCTATGTGATTTTCCTTTGTTGTCTGTCTAGGTGAAGATGATGTAACACCAAGCAGTTCAAATCGTAAGTAATGCTTATATAAATTGGATATGTCAATCCCATTTTGATATGCTAGCTTCCCCCACCCCAGCCCTTCCTATTTGGTGGGCATGTCTTAGGGCTAAAAAAATGTTCTGGCAAATGTCTATTTTGCCATTTAAAATGTTTTCCCTTCAGTGATATCATCTCCTTTATTTTGCATATCTCAGCAATCATGCAAAAGAAGCTGCATGACTCTAAAGTTGTGTCATGTTTCTGACCTTAACATGATTTTAGAATCAGACATCTTTCATTATCTGAGATAGAACTGTTTTCAGATATGGGATCATCATCTTGTCTAGTGTGGTTCTTAGGTCCTATTCAGAAAGTATTTATAGGTAGTTGGCCATTAACATAGTGCAGATCTTGGTCTTTGGTTTGTAATCCTTTCCCTGTTCTCTACAAGAGCCATGTCACACTTGCTAGCTGTTGCCTAGGTGGTTATGAAAAATCTAACAGTGGAAAGAATACTTGATAAATCCCTCATTTTCCAGCTCTTATTAAGCTACCCTGACATGATGAAACACTTGAATAGGAATTTTAAAGTCTCACAGGATTTCTTGTCTTCAACCAAGAGTGAGGCAAAGAAGTCTTTCTTCCTCTTCAAGTTTTCTATAATACACACAAAATGTTAAAGTGTGTTTTCCCTTCAAGATGCAAAATACATGCACATGGACACACATAGATCAAGATGGAGGTACTGGCTGGTTGCTAAGAGAGACACAGACAATGTATTTCAAATTCTAGTTTGGGCATTCTATGCAATTAACACACTTTGTGCAGTTGTGAACCCACATAGTTTTAACAAAACATTATTTTTGCTATTTCAAGAACTCTGTTTAGAGAACTAGAACACCCTCTTTGTTAGTGAGAAGAAGACTGTTGCATTGTATGTGATATTGAGAGAAGCAAGAATTTGTGTCTTTGAAAATGACCCTCAAATTTTTTTTGTGGACTAAAGAATAGCTGGGGGCAAAATTTTCTCCTTTTTAGATCTACAGTGCAGTACAATATAATTTAACACATTATAAATAATTCTTTCAGCTAATGTCATTCCATGTGCCTCAACAAAACAATTGAGAGTTGTTAATGGAAACCCAGCTCAACCTGACAAGGCATGGATGGTTAGTTTGAAAGACAGGTAAGACTCTGCATATGTTACCTTATATTGGGTCCTGGCAGCATTCCAAAGCTAAATGCCAGATTCTGCACTTTAGTAGGTTCTTAGCCCTTGTAAATGCTCAGTTTCTAACATCAGAGTGCATGAAATATAGACCCTTTACATTCTTTCTACAAGAAGGCATTTATACCCTCATAAACTAGTTTTCAAACCTGGGCATGCAGTATTGCAGTTTTTGCTCAGCCTGTTCTTGGGGTTGACTAGAGGTCTTCATGACCTAGGCTAAGATGGCAATACCCATATTCCAGTTATGCCATGCATTTACCTTTCTTAAAGCAGGAAATAAAAGAGAGAGAGAGAGAGAGAGAGAGAGAGAGAGAGGAAATGGTGGGTTACCTGAAGAAATATAAAACAATTTTCATCCTGCCAAGATATATGGAGGTAAAAGAGCATACAACTATGCCTAAAACTTTAAAATATGATAATATCTTAGTTTGTTTGGTGATACAAACAAGGTTTGTGGCCCCAAATGAAGTCACTTCACGTTTCCCTTTGAGTGAGATGGAAAAGTAGCCAGGTTTGTTTCTTACTTTGGAGTGAGAAAGTACGTTTTTTGTATTTCAACAAACCAGGATATGAAGCTCAGTTTAAAACATGGCCCCATGTACTGGCTTGTTTGGAAGTTTTTAACCATAGTTGCCTTGTTCAGAAGTAATGTGAAATTATGATTAATTAATTTTTTTCTTGTTTCTTTCCTGGTTCATGTGAAGGTAAAAACCAACGTTTTTACATGTGGGCACTATTAGGCATTTGATTTGAATGAGATTTTGTAAACATTAGACATTCTTCAATGTCATTTCAGCCCCTAAGCAACCAAGAACTTAAGAGTTATAATCTGAGCAAAACCTGCAGTTCAGTCTTAAACATGTCCTCACAAAAGTAACTTCCATTGTTATCTACGCCATGGGGCTTAATTTAGAAAATTGCCAGCTTTAGACCTGCTCATACCTTCCACCTTCAGTTATAAAATTTTCAGGACGTTTCCTATGTCCTTTATCAATTGGTTCTGAACAGAGCCCTTGTTTTTAATTTTGGCATTCATGCTGATTCTTCTTACTGGGAAATCCTTGTGAGGTCCAGCAGCCGAAATGTGTAGACTCTTTAGCTGTGACAAGTCACATTGCCCGGGATGCACCATGAGGAGATTAGTCTGCATTGCACTCCCCAATGGCTGATCATCCTAATTCTGACTGTGGGTATGTCCCACAACCTTTACCTCACATTGCGATGGAAAGCCCCCTTAGAACGTCCCCTGGCTCCCTGCATGAACTACATCTTCTTGAGGGAACTGCTGCTCAATGGTTCAATGATTTAGATATCTACCCTTAGGCTTAGTCACTCTAGCAACTGCTCATACGTAATTTATTTCACTAAATAACGATTTTTCCCTACCTTATAGCTCTCCTATCTTGTTTAATAATTTTTCAACTGCTCATACGTAATTTATTTCACTAATTATTCACTCTTCGTATTGGGCATTTAAAAACTCTCATAGAATTTATTCTTTTTAAGAGTTTACATTTTATACATATTTTATATTGTCTTTGTGAAGTCCTACACACTAATGCTGTATTCTGCTATGCTGTACAAAACCAAGATATACCAAGATCCAAGTCTATAGAGCCTGTGTCCTGAGCACACTCCTGTACTGCAGTGAGTCCTTGATCCTTTGTGCACGGCAGCAGAAGAAGCTGAACACGTTCCATATGCGTTGTGTCTGACACATTTTTTTTTGGCATCACCTGGCAGGACAAAGTTCCAAATAGAGTAGTCCTAGATCAAACTGGAATTTTCAGCATGTATACATTACTGAAACAGAAACATCTACGTTGGCTTGGGCATGTTCATGTTATGAGAATGGCTGATGGTCGGATTCCAAAATATCTCCTGTATGGAGAATTAGTGCAGGGAAATCGCCCCAGAGGGAGACCACAGCTGTGATACAAGGATATCTGCAAGCGGGATCTGACGGCCTTAGGAATGGACCTCAACAGACGGGAAACCTTGACATTTGACCGTTCAGCCTGGAGGCAGGCGGTGCATCATGGCCTCTCCCAATTTGAAGAGACCCTTTTCCAGCAGGCTGAGGCAAAGAGGCAGTCACGAAAGCAGCAAAATCAGGGAGCTGGCCAGGGGACAGATTGTATTTGTCTTCAGTGTGGAAGGGATTGTTGCTCTTGAGTTGGCCTTCTCAGCCACACTAGATGCTGTTCCAAGTCCTCTATTCCAGTGGTCCCCAACCTTGGGCCTCCTGATATTCTTGGACTACAACTCCAAAAAGCCTACACCACCACCTCTGCTGGCCAGGATTTCTGGGAGTTGAAGTCCAAGAACATCTGGACGCCCAAGGTTGGGGACCACTGCTCTATTCAGAGCACGTTACCATAGTGTCTCAAAACTGAAGGATGCCTACCTGTACGAAACAAATATATAAAAAGTATATTGCAATTTTAACTGTTTCATAAAACCAAAATGTAGTGATTAATGATAGTTAGGACTGGAAGTAACTATTCAATTTTTTTTTGCTCAGCAGAGGCAGACATTTCTGCGGAGGTACACTGGTAAAGGAAGACTGGGTCCTGACAGCAAAGCAGTGCTTTCCTTCTCGGTATAGTAACTTTTACTAGCGAGGCTATTATGTGAAAAAATAAGTTTAACATATGAAGAATCTATGAGATACATTTCTTTCTTTTTACAAGTTAACATGTTTTGTAGAACGGCACCATTGTATCTTACTATAAAACTTGTTGTTTTATAGATACCATCAACAACACACAATTGGCGGTAGAAAGAATAAATCCTTCACAGGTTTCCAAAATTTTTGTTCACCTAGTGTTCTAGATGCAGCCCCGGAATTCTTAAGATTTACGGCCATAAACTACATTGGCCTTTCAACATTCTTTGAAATATACTGTGGATATGTTGAGCAGTTATTAGATGTAGAGATGTCGCCTTTTCTTGCCATGACAATACCATCGTCACCATTTTCTGCTACTAGAAATTGAGAATTTTATTTGAAATTGGCAGTGTCATAATGATGGGCATTAATTCAACTGCTTTCTTAGTAGTGGTGCTCTCCTTGTGAAATGTTCTCCTGCAGGAGGTTGAGCAGAAACCCTCCCTTTGTACCTTTCAAAAGCTCTTGGACACAGAACTTTTTAGGGCAGCTCTTTCAGAGGCTCTCCCCAGTTAATTAGGACAGAGGAGGAAGAAGGGGATGAATTATATGATGTGAAGCTGTTATTTTGCTGGTTAACTTTTCTTGTTGCCTATTTGTAGGACAGTTTGATGTGTTCTAGTAATTTTATAATTTATGTTTATAATTTATAGTCTTTGTTGTACACTGCCGAGAGTAGTGCTCTTGCTAGATGGGCAGTATATAAATTGAATAAATAAATGATGTTGTGTAACATAAACATGGGTAACATAAATATATGTGAGACAGAATACAGTGGTGCCTCGCTAGACAATTACCTTGCAAAACGGTTTATTCACAAGACGATGTGTTTTTGCGATCGCTATAGTGCTTCTCAAAACGGTTTTCCCTATGGGCGATTTTCGCTGGATGATGTTTTGGTCCGCGCTTGGCAAGATGGTTTCCCCCCCCCCGTTTTTCACAAGATGACGATTTTGACAGCTAGGTCCGCGACTCGCAAAACAGTTTTTTAAGGGGCCGAGCGACTCGCAAAACAGTTTTTTAAGGGGCCAATTTTCTCAAGATAGCGATTTTGACAGCTGGTCTGCACTTCACAAAACGGTTTCTCTATGGGCGATTTTCGCGAGACGATGACTATTTTCCCCATTGGAATGCTTTAAATGGATTTCAGTGCATTCCAATGGGGAACTGCATTTCACAAGACGATGTTTTCACTAAATAGCGATTTTCACGGAACGAATTAACATTGTCTTGCGAGGCACCACTGTATATATGATAAGGTTGCGCCAGCCAAAATCCTGTTGCATAGTGTAGTAAATTACACTAAAGTGAGCCTTTTGAATCAATGGGGATTTAGTGAGTCAACTCATCTGCATGTTTCATGGATTCAAAAAACCTACTCTGTTTCCGACTTTAGCTTAGTAATTTGCAATTAGAATTGGCCCATTTGAATCCATGGAGGTTAATGGTGGAATTTACTCACTAAATCCCCAGTGGTTCAATAGGCCTATTCTAGTGTGATTTACTACATGAAGTGATAGGATTCTGGCCACTATAAAGTTCCAGTTCTAACTCTAGAAATAAGATGCTGATATTTCATCATGTCTTAGAATCTTTTCAACGTTTTTAAAAAGCGAACTCAAGATTGTTCTCTGATGAGTTTATCATTCACAACTACTGTGCATGATGACACTTAGAACGATTCCCACCTAATAAAACAGACATACATGTTCTTTGTTTTTATTTGAAATCTCTAAGATCACTTGGTGGACCTTCATTAATAAGCTGTCATTTATTATTCTGGGGTATAGATATACTTATTTAATTTAGTACAGAGGTATAGATGAAAATTGGAATAAAGGGTGCTTCCAGGCAAAGGGAGCAAAAGGCTTTTTGTGCTTACTCCTGCTGTTCCTTCCAAATATTTTTTTAACCCAATAAGAGAAAAGATTGAATAAGCAGTGGAAAGACACAAGAGGGTTACAAACTGAAGACATCAGTATCTAGATGCTCTTCCAGATATCTGTGATGGAGGCAGAGTGACTACACAGATATAAAATCACCCCAGTGTTTGTCTGCCAACTCCAAGTAACTATGATTCTGCCCTTGCACTCTAAGTCTGTGTCAGAGCAGTATCACTAATTGCAGCCTGAGAGTGTGTGTGTATCTATCTATTACTTCTTTTATTTCAGACATTTAATGTCGGGTAGTTAGGTCATTGTTATTGTCCATAGCTGTAAATCACTTACAGTAGTGCTTGGCAGTATATAAATGCATGAAAGAAAGAAATAGAGCCTAAAGTGATGCAGGGAGGATTAGATGGATAGGAAAGAAGTGTAACAACATGATGCTTCACACCGATCTCTTAGCTCAAGGATAACATGTGGCTCTCCAGATGTTGGATTTGTAATTCCTGACATTCATCACCGTTAATTACAGCTGTTGGGAACTCAAGGCCAGCAACATCTAGACAGCCACACATTCAACACTGCCACATTTTAGCTACCTTTCAAAAAAGACTCCAGCCATCTAACTTAGTATTTTTTTACACAGTGAAGGACTAGCATTTAACTCATGTATGATGTTGACTGTTTTTATATTGAACCATATACATAGTGTGTGTGTGTGTGAAATTTGTTTTCTTTAGGTATAACCTCAATGACTACCAAGCCTGGCTTGGAATACATAATGTTGAAAGAGCACATGAAGAGGAGCGTAAGCAGGTTCTGAATATCTCCCAGCTGGTGGATGGCCCCAAAGGATCAGATCTGGTTTTACTGAAGCTTTCCAGGTCAGTCTTAGTCATGCTAACATTTTTTGCAGGTCTTCCCACCTCCACCCAGCCACAGACTTTTCCTTGTTCCCTCTGAAGTCAATATGCCTAGAGTTCTTCCCATCAGACTTGGGCCTGGTGTGAAGCTGTACTATTGAAAAGGGGGTAAGGATATGATCCGAGGGAACATAGGGTATAGGAAGTGTCCGATCTCATGTGCTACCCCTGTTCTGCCCACAATACTGCTCATTCTTATATGTTCATGGTAGACATTGATAGTGTAGTAAGTAACCTGCATTGTACCCCAGCATAGTGGGTTTTCTGTTGAATCCTGTATTCCAGAGTTGGGGTGGGGGTGGGGTAGAACTTGCCATTCAGATATAATTGGATTGCAACTCCTTTCAGCCCTAATTAGCACAGCCAGTGGGGAAGGATGAGGGGGTTGCAATAGAGCAACATCCGGAAGGCCACATCTAACCCACCCCTGCTGAAGTTTCTTAGCTGGTATGATTTACATCTATACAGTACATCTGTTAATGAAAATAAATGCAAGACTTCAGCATGTGGACTTCAGAAAGTTAAAATCAAAATATAATTAAGATGCGTTCACTGAAACAGGAGCTTTAAAAGAGAATATGTGAATTCATTTGATCTGATTGTAGAAACTGCCAGATTCTTTGTCAGTTATCATCAGCACCAGTTTTTAAAAGGCTTCTAAGAATAAACATATATCTGTTCCTCGTGTGTTTTCCTCCCAGACCTGCAGTAAGCAGTGATGCTGTGGTTATCATCAGGTTGCCCATTTCTGGATGTACCATTCCGGAAGGCACTGCCTGCACTGCATATGGATGGGGACATACAGGACGTAAGAGATGTTTTTTGTAAAAACCAATGCACGTATATTTATATGTGCCTATCATGTGATAATTAGGAATTTCTGAACATGGGTTAGACAGTGACACCACTCCTAAGCTGGAAATAAATTTCCCATCTTGTAGTAAAATCCCCAAAATTTAAGCACACTAAAGGTATCCACATTCTCTAGAGAACTGACAAACACACACACCAAATACACACATACAGTGACACACCTGCAGAAAAACGTCAAGATTATGTGTTCTTCATCTCCCTTGTAAGTGTGCCACAAATGGATCTTTCTTTGGTTTAACTTTTTGAACTCGTTTAACCAGTCTGTAGCTCCTAGAAGCAACCAGAGACCCTAGCACAATATGTTGTTAGTAATCTGTGTATGACAAACACACACACCAAATACACACATACAGTGACACACCTGCAGAAAAACGTCAAGATTATGTGTTCTTCATCTCCCTTGTAAGTGTGCCACAAATGGATCTTTCTTTGGTTTAACTTTTTGAACTCGTTTAACCAGTCTGTAGCTCCTAGAAGCAACCAGAGACCCTAGCACAATATGTTGTTAGTAATCTGTGTATATCTGTCCTGGTGATATGTTCTGCAGGAAATAATAATAATAATA